TATATATAAGAATATGAACGTACATTTAAACGAACAATAAAATGCATTGCATTAAACGATACATCTTTTGATTGTCCAATATTATTATTTTTCATTATGTACACGCTTTCAGAGTTCAATCAACCGCCCATCGTCTGTCAAGGGGTTTTTATACACTCGTAGCGGATATTCAATTGTGTCATTAAATGTGTAGCATATAGATCGGGTGAGTTATTGTCTGCCGTTTCTAGTGGACTTCCATAAGCAGTGAACGTTGACGCCTCAACTCGTGATTTGAGGTGGTTAGCAACACGACGTGAGGTGTTCGGTAGATCAACAATTGTGCGTCAGCAAATATTGAGTTAGGTCATCTCTGAGAATATCATCGCCAGGAGCATTTCGACGATGGAGTAAGGAGTCTTAGAAAGTAAGGTAGTAACTTCAACCTTTATGAATCGCCAAGACTGTTGGGCCTAAATTAAGCCTGTCTGTTAGAGAGGTCACTCAGGTCACTCCTTCCTTCCAGCCTGCCTTTTTATCCCTGTACATTACCCATACGAGTTTGTGGGCTGACCCCAAATCTCTAAGGATTGCGTGATCTGAGATGCCCATATATCTGGAGTAATTCCTGATTTGGAAACGGCAAAATATTTTCTTTGGGAGTGGTGGTGCATGCCATTTTCTTTTTCTTAGGTTTTAAAAAGGATCGTAAGGAAAAGTATTTAATAATCTAGTGAAATATGGTTAAAACAATTTATGCATAAAATAATATATATTGTGTTATAATAAATAGAATTTGTAAATGAATATAGTTTCCTTATCATCATAATTAGCATATAAACGTATTAATTTACATATATTGAGTAGCACAGGAAAAATCACATCAGACAACAAAAGCCGCGTTAACGGCAATTTATTATAAATCATCGCATATTTAGCACCTATCGTGCTACAACGAAAACTACTACAACAGTGTCCGATGTATCGTGTTCTCAAAATATCGATTAATCAAAACATTGAACATGTTTAGCAGAAAATCGATTGTTCTTACAAATAGAACTTGTAAACAGAATTGTTAAAATTAATTTAAGCAATTACACCATAGAGTAATTGCACATAAATATTGTAGTATGGACTGCAATCATTTTATTGAAGTTCCTCTACGTTCCGGTGGAGGAAAGAAAATGAAGAAAAGGAAAGAACTTGATGCTCTGGTTGCGCACTCCTTGACAAAAAGAGGCTCCCACCGTACAATAAATTCACAGGATAAATTGCTTTCAGTCTCAACCGATGACCTTGATGATTTCGCATGGGTAATACACTTAATATATTACTGATTATCTTAGTTATTAAACCTTATCTAACTGTATTTTTATGGCTAACTATTTGAATGTAAATTCACATGTATGTATGCATGTGTGTATGCTCATATGTCATGCGCCTTTGTTTTGATTTAGATGAGTGTTGCGAGCATTCGACGAAATAACAAGAAGCGAATTTATATCCGCAAGTGTGGTCCCGCGCTTTTCTGCATTGCAACAGTCTTTTTTGTGTCTATATTGTATTGGGTATACTTCGATTTGCGCCAGCAAATCTCCGATTATCAGCAAAAATTTGAAGAAGGTAAGAAACACTGCAAGTTTTTATTACTATTTCATGTTTTTACAGTTGATTAAAAAATTTTACGCACATATGGCTTGGAATTCAATGAATTTAAAATTTAGCAAAGAGGGATATTTCAGTCCTTGTACTATAATTTTTTGATCAACTGTAAATACATATTCTTATAATTATATTATTAAATTTATTTTATGTTTAATTTTAAATAGTTTCGGCCGTAAGCAAAGTATTTCCGGATACACTTCAGCAGTGGCATGAGACTACGTCGTTTCTTATAAAAAATCAGTCTTTAATTATATATCAATTGAATGATCTGACTCAAAGCGTGGAATTACTGGGAGCCAATTTAAGCAGCCTCCAAGCAACCGTAAACGCACAACGGAACTATGGCCAGGATCAAAAGATTGTTGCTGACTTTGGAGCCAAATTGGAGGCCGTTGTTACCGATATGGAAGTGGTAAAGAAACACCTCAATAATTACGTCGATGATCAGAAAAGCCTTAAACTCGAAACGGATATTTTGAAGGTAGCTTAAAGTATTTATTTTTAATCATTTTCTTTTATCATACATTATTCTTATTTTTAGGGCAATATAAGTCAATTGTCCACTGTTCAAGCGAATTCTTCTTCATCGGCAAATTATACAAAGGATATTAGCCAATTTAAAGAAACTATGGAAAATACATTGAACAATGTGAATAACCAAATTGTTTCTGTTAATAACACGTTAAGCCAAACAATTAACATACTGCAAGGCGAGATAATGGAATATAAAGTATGTATAATATAATAATGTTTATAATGTTCTTCAATACAATTATTGTTTACTTATTTATTTTTTTATAGACAAAGTTGGAAGACCTTTTGGATCGTTTTCAAAATATAACTTCTCATGTCGCCACATTGAGCAACAATTGGTTGCAATTCAAGCAAAAAATGACAGTTGTCGACGATCAATTGAGCAAATTCAATGAAAAGGTAAACTCAAAATCATTTGTATAATACATACAATTATTATATATATTTTTATTTATGTTATTTTCATACAAACAGAACAAACAAAATGATTTAATAGATCAAGTGTAACATCAGCCAACGAATCAATAAACGTAACAACTTCAGCAGCAGCAGCAGCACGAGCAGCAACAGCAGCAGGAGCAGCATTATCAGCAACTAGGACAACAGCAACAAAAGCAACAGTTGGAACAGCTTTAGCTAACTGCAGCAACATGTGTAGTTGGCGCTACAGTTTCAGATATGACCAAGTTAACAGCAGCAGAGGATTCTAACAGCATTTAACATAAAACAGTTCATTTAAAGTCAAATGAACTATAAGAACGATAAGCAATGGATGCGATGAAGAAACATCTGTAACAGCAACTTCTCATAATTTCTTGCCAGATGAAGAGAATTTCAAATAATATACCAAATTGTCAATTTAAGTTCTTAGCTTGCCGCTACAAAATTAACTTTGTATTGGCGCTAGTCAACATTAAATTTATGATTCAAGATCAGCTGTAGTTGGCTGTGCGTCCTTCGGTCACCGTTTGCACAAAGGATATTTTGAATAACTGAAAATGAGCAGAGTCCTGCGAGACTGTTAAAGGCAAACAGTTGGCTGAAGATGAAGTGTTAGCATTTTAATAAGTGGTGTAGGAACAGGAGGAACAGAGGATAAACGAATTATGTATTTATCAGTTCCAGGAGACTTGCTACGTACCATCTATAATAAGTTAGTTATAATGCAGGACACCAAAAAAAAAAAAAAAAATACTTGAAATACAAATTGTATAAAACATTTAGTGTATGCATATGAGCAGCGCCGGGCTGTTTTGTTTATTGTAAATTTTGTAAATACGTTAAAAATCCGTAGTCAACGATCAATCTGAATGCTTTAAGTTGAACTCCGACAGCCATTTAGTTTTATGAATGCCCATCTTAGTACTTAATGTTTGTGTAACCAAATGTCATTGACGTAATAATAATAAATATTAAATGTATAAGTTTTAAACTTCTTAGGTTACGTATAAATTTGTTATTGAATTCTGTCATGCAATTGTTTTCTTTGTTTATATTTATTTGAAATAAAAATCTTTTCAAATTACATTCAAAATTGTTAAAAATCTGTTTATTCAAGTGTTTTATAGAGCGTGTGTTTAACAGAAATCACGTTATCCAAAGTAAATAGATAATATTTCAAATTATATATCAACTTTATCCAGACATGTTTATAATTCCTGTAAATGTAAGCTAAGTGTAAAAAAATATCAGATTTTCTTCTGGAAAGCAGTCGATTCACATCCTATGACATTTTCCATGGAGCTAAATGGAGTGTTGGAGTAACTATAGCGTTCTCCATAGTTCTCAACATTTCTTCAAGTATTGGTGTCTTTGAGCTAGGGAAATTCTGCTTTTGAGCTCAGCAGCAGACGAAATCACAGCGCTCATTTGTAAAAGAGTAAGTGTGCATCTGCAGGTACAATAATTCTTTGCTTGAGCTTAGTCTTCCTCGGATCTATCCGCAAGCATAACCTTTAATCAAATTTAAAATTGATTTAAATCCACTCCAAAGAAAAACCTTGTTAGTTTCATAATTATTTTGGTAAATCAAAAATTAATATGTATATATTTTTTGTTTGAATATCCTAAACTTCTAGTGAATTTTTACAATACAACGTTAGTTAACATTAGAAGATTTTAAATATAAAGAGTTGGACAGAGATTTTGGAAAGCGACTCAGATAGCGCTCAAGTCGTAGAAACTTAATAGATATCAGACGCTTATCAAACCACCATCCATTGATCTCATTGTGCACAATGCCAGCGTCAGCCTCGCTAGCGCAACGAATGTACACGCAGCAGGACTGAGTGTCCAGCTGGATATCGCATATGTTGCAATTGGGTCCGACTTTTTCAAATATGGATTCGACTATCAATTGCTTCAAGTTTGGTTCCTTTATTTCGGACGCGTCGAACATGTGGCGAATTTTCAGGCAAGATGTGGGCGGGTTGACGATTTTATTCGAATTATCAAATGCGGAGCTTTGCCATTTCTTTGATGTGCTGAAGTCCTTGTTGCCAATGTTTTTATTCAATGTAATTGTGCGTAGTTGTTCTCCATTTCGTACTATCATCCCAAAGAGAACACGGGTATCGTTTGCTTCCAGCTGCTGCAGCGCCTTGTTCCAAGCACTCATCACTTTTGATCGATTGTGAGGTGGCAGCAATTTGTCCTGCAATTGATTGATTATGATCTCCGAATTTTCCGAATGTGTACTATGATACATCAGCTCATTGATGATATCCTTCTTAAACTGTTCCGTTAATTGTAGACTTTCTTTTTGTTTCATGCGATAAAGGGAGGACAGGAAATAAATCAGGAAAAATCCAGCAATTGTGAGAATTACCAATCCAATAACCGTGAAAAATCGTGTCATTTTCTTTAAAATAAGGCACTTGAGTGGTAAATTTGGTTCGATAAGCTCAAACGATATTGTGGGTTCTGTTGAGTTATAGGTGGATACAATCGTCTTTATCATCCACTGCGGATTCTGCGCAATTAGGTACTGCGTAGCTAAGAGTTTATTGTGTAGATTACCATTTTGTATCTCAGTGTTCCGGCTCAATGCCTTCTTGAAGTCATTCATTTCAAGCGTCGCAGAGTGATCCTCGCTTATGCAATGGTGAAGTCGTGCTCTTTCATTCAGATACCCAAAGAGTTCTTTACATATATACAATGCCTTGTTGAACTGATCTTCGCTAATGCATTTCACTTTTTGAGCTGATCCACGGAGATCTATGTCGTTCATATTACATATGGTATATTTGATATCCGTTTGTGTGATGGGGCTAAGGTCGAATTTCTTTGCCGTATATAGAACAGAAATCAATGCCAAGAATATGAATAGCGACCCAATAAGTACAGGCGGTATTATATATTGGCTAGCATCTGGTTTTTTAAGAAACGATCGCAGATCAAACGACAGCAGTTTCTGTATGATCCCATTTCCCATCAATGTCTTCGATGAATGCGTCGAGTATCCATCCTTAAACATAATCTTCTTCTTAATCGAGGCATCGCGAAAGCTAAGGAGTCTGTTAACAACACCTCCATCGCAATTATTTGATTTATCATATATTTTATAATATGGGGCTGGCTTCTCGGCTGGATATATGGGTTTACGGCTATGAATGCTCAAGGAATGCGGCTCATTTTCATTTTCATAATGAGACGTTATGAGCGGAGGTGGCGCATACATAGATAGTCTCGAACTTTTTCCCATGCTCTCATTCGCATCATTTCGGTGCGTTAGCGAAGAGCTCAGACGTGTATTAATCTTATTGTTCTCATGCTCCTTGTCAATTATGTTCGGATTTTCCTGTATTGGAATTGCTGGATGTGTATTTTGTTTATCATTGTAGTAGAGTACATAATTATTGACTTTAACTCTTTGGAGTTTCTCCTTTTTAATGTGTTTCATTAGTTTTTTGATAAGTATGGGCCTTGTTGTCTCAGTCACTGGAGTATTCGCATATCCAAATTGTTGTAATTTCCTTTGTATTTCAATGTCGGTCAAGGAATTCAAGTTTTCGTCCATTTTGTGCTGAAAAAATAAATAAATAATGTTTATTTTAGTATTAGCGTTAAGATTAAATTACAAATACATCCAACATGGAAAATACCAGTTGGATTTCTGAATATCATAACCCCCAGGGTATTTGTTAGTCTTGAAACATTAAGAAATTCTATTCCATCTATAAATTCTAATTATAACTCTCTGCACTAAAATAAACAAACATTTCCAGAACTCATAATCATATTTATGTAAATTGGAGAATTTCGTTTTGTATTATAAAGAGTTGATATTTCACATTAAATGTTTAGGGAAACATCTTTCTAAATTTTATGCCATATTACAAAATAACAAATTTTGTTCTGTATGGAGATCCTTCCGATCTTATAAAATGTGTCAAGCATTTCGATTTTGTGTATTTCCAAAGGCAAAGACAAGGTATACCTCTGCTGTGCTTGTTTACTAATGTTTAGATTGCGGCTAATGAATGAATATCGCGGATTTTAACTTACCAAACGCCATCAAAATCTTATTGACTATATTTTCAATCAAGTGTTAATTGACTAATCAACAATTAATGCGCACGTTCATGTTTATTAGGAGTTTCGTGTTAATCATTAGAATGACTTGTTTTAAAATTACAATACTTTAATATTTAATAATCTGTAAAACTTACTCAATGATCGGCAAAGTTGAGATATTAACTATTAAAACAATACAATAAATTCCGAAACTATGTTAGGGATGCTCAATATGCATCGATTTTTAATAAAATATCGATGTATATCTTTATATGTATAAACACATTGGTATATCGGTATATCGCATCATAAAAGTTTAATTCAAACATCGTAAGTTTACGAAATGCCAGCATTAAAGCAAATTAATATAAAAGACACCAATCATTTTATTACCTAAAATTTCTGTAATCTGGCTGTTTTAATATTATTGTGTAATTTAATGATTTCCATGTATGTTGAAATATACAATTAGGGCATTAGTTTTCGCTTCTAGTTTTAATAAGTATGAGCAGCAAATTATATCAGTAATTTTTCGGATTTTTAAGTTAAACTATTTTACCGCTATTCTTTTAATAATCTATATTATATTTTGTAATCTTCTTAGTGCATATGCCTAGGACAACATAATTATTGGATATCGATAGCTTTTATTGAGCAGCATCCTAATCGAAAGCGGATCATCGCTATAAGAATGCGCAAAAAGTACGTGGCATCTCATCTCTAGTAGAGAACATTGTATACTGCGAAAAACGACCAAATAATTTTGAAAAACATATGTCTCAGTAAATGAGAGCAAGCAGTCATTTGCTCAAGAACTTGAATCTCTCCGCAACGTAAATAAATATTCATGTTGAAATGACACAATACAAATGTGTTTCCTACATACTTCTGTGGAATATCATAACAGCCGTTGCGCTGGTGGATCGTCAATTGCACACGTATTCAGAAGATGCAAGGAATTATGGCCAAGATAAAACCGAGAGCCTCACTGGCTCATTTCCATTCCTCATGCCATCGGTTTCTCCAAAAACTGTAAGCAGCAAAACATTTTATGTTGTAAATATGTTCATGTTGTTGCAATCAAAACAATTATTATCAATGCTGCGCGCGTATATTTTGTGTATGTATGTGTAATAGATAAGGCTTTTGTCTGTCCGAGCATAAAAGAAAATCGATTTTTGAAAATAAATTTAAAATGCAATTTATTTGGTTTGAATTGACGCAAAACGTTACCATATGGATGGAAATCCCCTAGCTTGTTTGTTGGCATATTCCCTTATCAGTGCAGATAACATATTGGCACTGTTGAAATGGCATTCAACAGTTTATTACGACTTCAATATGCGAAAAATCATTTTATATTAAAACAGGACTCAATTTGGAGACATTTTATATATATATTGAAACCCTTAATTAAAAATTGTTTAAAATACAATTTAGTCATATGTGTATGTATGTATTTTGTAGTCGTCCGTTTCCTTGCACAATATATTTCATGTTATCCAAGGCCTACATCATCAGGTGTCTGTAGTACACAAAACTGCCTGCGTTCCAACAAGTCTCCAATTTTGATAAAAATTGATTTATTCTAGCTGAGTTCCAATCTCTAGATTTTTTAGTTGCACAGATTTAACAGTAGCAAAGTTAAGTAGTGCTCATCCCTACTTTTTACTAAAAAATACACTATTAGATTATAGAATCTACTTAGACTTTGCATTAATCATCAACAGCAATATCAGGAAATATATATATATATTTTTTTGCAAATTACAGATGTTTTTACCTGTATTAACAGGTTGCAATCAATTTTATTATATTTATTTATGTATGTATTAGTATGAATTCAATTTTGATTCATTGTATAGCATATACAGGGTGTATAAATGAATTAGTAGAAACAAGAAGGTTTGAATGACTTGAGAAACTTTATTAAAAGTTAATGTAAGAAAAAAAAAGACAATTGACTTTAGAGAACAAGTTTGTTGCTCATACGCGCTAACAACTTATACAAATAAATAAATATTGATCACATATATAATTATTTAACAATTATAATGAAATTTTTATTATATAGCCGGATCTGTATTTATGCACCCCTATCAAAGTCGACCCAACAACGTCATACTATATTGGTACGTTACAATGATAAATGTTATGCAGTTCCACGGGGTTTTTTTATAAAAATCATTTGTATTTTTATTAAAGTTGGTTACAAGCCAAACGCAACTATGAACACGGCACATCATATGCTGCTTTATGGATGCGGAGAACCGGGAAGCACAAGACTTACTTGGTAAGTTTTGTTAATCAACAAAAGTCAACAAAATCTCTAAAACTTTATTCTAACAGGAACTGTGGAGAAATGTCAAAGTCAACTGAGGAAGAAACTGGAAGTCCCTGTGGACCTCAGTCACACTCGCAAGTAAGACAATTGCTCACAAAAGAAATTACATCAATTTATTACACATCTTTATTGAACTTTTTAGATTCGACTGAGATTTTTTTTTCCAATCCATCAATATCACATTTATTATTAGTAATTATTATATTATTCTTTTATTAGATATTATATGCCTGGGCAAGAGATGCGCCCAGACTGGATCTACCGCCCGGTGTCGGATTTAAAGTGGGAAAGAATTCGCAAACAAAATATTTGGTCCTGCAGGTGCATTACGCTCACGTTGATCAATTCAAAGGTAAGAAAATAAATATGTACATTAAATTTGTTTATATTAAATGTTTAATATTTCATTTAGATGGTTCCACTGATGATTCGGGCATCTTTCTACAGTATACGGAAAAGCCGTAAGTGTATTGTGTTCTTATCAAATGAGCTGAGATTTATTTTATTTGAATTCATTTCATTTACAGTCTCACGAAATTGGCTGGTACCTTGCTGTTAGGTACCGACGGCGTTATTCCTCCCATGAAGACGGAGCACATGGAGGCCGCCTGTGAGATAACAGAGAATAAAACAATTCATCCCTTCGCATATCGCACGCATACCCATGGTTTGGGTAAGGTTGTTGCTGGATATAGGGTTCGGTCAAATGCACGGGGCGTTCAGGAGTGGACGCTGCTTGGAAAGAGGGATCCGTTGACACCGCAAATGTTTTATAATGTCGAGGATAGTTCGCCAATCGTAACGGGTGACTTTGTCGCCGCCCGATGTACTATGAAAAGCACACGGCACCGTAATACAGAAATTGGGTAAGATTACTCATATAGACTATATATCATATATTTTATGTAGTGCCGTTGCAGCCTAAAATAGAATTAATTAAAATACTTGCTTATGCCTAATTAATGTGTATATTCTCTGTTCTGTTTTATTTACAGCCCGACAAATGAAGACGAAATGTGCAATTTTTACCTTATGTACTACGTTGACCATGGCGAACCTCTCGATATGAAATATTGCTTTAGCCAAGGTCCCCCTTATTACTACTGGGCCAATCCAGATACCGGACTACATAACATTCCTGATAAAGATGCCAGCATCTTGTAAATTAATAGCACTCGCTCTCTATCTCTATCCAGTATATCATAAACTACAAAGTGTACATTTAATTTTCTGGATTAGTTTTAATGTTATCTGTCGATTTATGTTTTGTACATTTAGATGTTGAACGTCATATTGTTAAACACTAAATCAACTTATATTTAATTTTAGCATTATAACAATATTGAATGTACGACATAAAATATACACGTGTACCTATATGATGATTCATGATTTTTAATGGGTGTGAGGATTTTTTTAAGAAGGTAGGTAATGCCATTTCTGAATGAATGAAATACGACTATATTTATTTTATTTTGTTTTTATTATTATTTTTCAAAATATGCATTGAGCATATTCTTTTTTCTTAAATTAATTTATATATTAA